AATCAGTAAAACGCATCAAGGCCTTGCAGACTCAGCTGGACCTCAAGCGCAAGACAGAGCTGGTTGCACAGGAGGAGAAGAAGAACAATTTTCTCTCAAGCATAATCTCGAACCACGAAAAGACCTTTGAGGAGATGAAGAAATATTACACTGACATTACAGCTACCAATCTCAAGCTCATCACAGAACTTAAGGTCTGCTTGTGCACATGAGGGATGGGGGTGTGGGTTCCTGGTCTATTATAATCAGTGCCAAAAATGATACTTTGTTTACTTAGGGAAAGTACTTAATTAGCAGAGTTTGCTTCTTTAATGTGATGAAATACTTTGATTGAAATTACTATTGATTATGTATCTCTAATCACAAGTTTATCATTAAAGATAATGAAATAGTAGAAAAAGTATATTTTATGAGAAAGAAGTAAGTATCTGAATGATTTAAAGTAAGCTTCTTTATGGCAATTCCAGGGTGAATTAGCAGAGCAAAAGGAGCGTGAACACAAACTAGAGCAGGAGATGGGAGCAGCTATCACAAGTCGAGCACGCTTGGAGGCTGAGGTGGCCAGCCTTCGCAAGAAGCTGACAGACATGCAGAGGTCTGTCCAACGCTCACAGAGGGATAAGGAGAGTTACCTGGTAAGAAGGAGGGATTCTCTTGGGCGTGTGTGTGTCTATGTGTGTGTGTATGTGTGTGAAAATATGCTTGGTTACGTTTGTGTGTTTTTGCATCTGCGTATGTTTTTGTGTCTCAGCTTATTTGGTATGTGTTTCTGTTTTATCCAACACCCATCTTGTCCAGTGATTCCCAACCATGGTCCCACATTACCCAAGGGCTCAGCAGATCATCATTTGGGATTCCAAAAGGAATCATAAAATATCTAAAATCTAAATAAAAAATGTAAACCAATGGAGAGTATTGATAACAACTTCAGGCTCAAAACCAATACCATATTTCTTTATCAGATATGAATTGAACTTGTAATCTGTGTGTTCCAGGCCCCAGCTAACAGTTAACACTGATCTGGTGTGGTTGTTAAGGAGTCTTTTTATGTGTATATACAAGTAATATTTTTTCTTTATTTTCTCTTTAAACAGATAGACAGACTAACAAATTGACTGATAGATAGATATATTAAGGTGTAAACACTGGGAATTACAGGTTTATATTTATGTCTGGCTTGTATTTTTTTTTACAGTTGTATGAAGAAATATGCATGTAATTAGTTTATTTATATAGCTCTGGATATATATTAATATATACTGATATATTTGTACCTTGCATTTTAGACAAGCCAGGCCCAGGTAAAGGTGCTAACCAGTGAGAAAGAATCCATTCAGTGGGAACTTGAGGTTATGCGTCAGAAGGCAGAAACGGTATGTAGAATGCGGAGTGTGTTCTGTCAAGCTCACCTACTGGTTTTGTCTATTTTTATGTGAAAAATATGGAATGATCAAAGTGCAGGGTTGTAAGGCTCGTAGCCACATTCTTACAGAAGACCTGGTGTGCTGTGTGGTGCAGAGGTAGCGATCTCGTCTAGCAATTTGCTGACCTGCGTTCGAATCCCTCGCCACCAGTGGATGGTAACCCATAGCCATTCCTTGCACACAGGGGATAATTTAGAAGCAAAATAAAACAGACAGTATGTCACACCAAGAATATCCATTGTAACAAATGGAATCAAACTAAATTATTATATTAATTATTATTATTATTATTGTTCACTGTTTCAGCCATACCCTTTGTTTTATGTGGTCTCTCAATGTTTGCCTTTTAAAGATTTCACTTAGAGTTCTAATACCTTGTCTGAAAAGATGACCCCCCCACAATGCCTCTTAATTCAATAGAATACTTAGTAGAATTTCCAAAATGAGAGAGCAATAATAGTAAGTAATAAAGAAATACTATTTTATGGTTATGGGTGTAAGAGTAAGGTCATTAAACACATATTTCAGGAGAGTCGACTAAATCAGCCTTTCTTATATTGCCATAATACTCCCCTAAGAGGTGATTGCAAATTACTAATAGTTGTATTAAATCCTATCAGCCACAGTAAATGGTTTTCATGATATTACATCCATGTAGCTAATTTTGTATGCTTTATTATGCAATCATGAAGATAATATGTAACCTTGCTATAATGATTCTGTCTAATGGTTATACACAGTAACGTCAGACAGTATATGAGGGTATGTACGTCCAAAGGTGTTCTCAGACCATTTGCCCAACAAAGTGTTTACCAAATGTTTTGATACTTTAAACTTTCATCTATAACTTAATCATGAGTATGTTCACATTAATACACTACAATTAAGGGATAGAAGGTATTAATGCAAATATATTGATGTTTATGTTTTAGATGAAAGTTTAAATTAACAAATCATTTAATAAATGCATTGTGAGGCAGTTAGTCTAACGCCTTTTGGATGTGCATACCCTCATATGTAATAATAATGGTATATTACTGATAAAAGCGAGAATATTCATAGAAAGCAGGCTACCATTCCATTTTTTACTATTTTCTGTCCCAAAAGTTAAAAAGTCTTTATCCCTATTCATTGCAGATTGAGCGAGAACGTAAAGAATTGTATGACCACTTTGTTGCTGTAGTTGGAGAGGTACAACAGCGCAGTGAATTGAGAAATATTGTGCTGGAGAAACGACTGAGTCAGGTATGGTGAAGGAGATTGATTATAATAATTTTGATAATGTAGGGGACATTTATTGTGATAATTATCTTGGCATATTTTGTTGAAAGCAAAGTATCAGGTGTTTCTCTGGAGCAAAGTATATTCATAAACCCATAAAGAATGATTTATATGAATTGTCATAATTTGTAATGACTTTTCTCCAGAGCAGATATCAAAATACATTTTGCTATTTTTTTGTTTACTTTTTAAGGACTTTTGGGCTCATATAACACAGCATTGTTGCATTCAAGCAAAAAATGGTAAATTAAAAGTAATTTTCACTTCTCCAGTAATTTTCACTTCTTCATTTGTTCATCATTTACACACACAACTGAATTTTTCCATCCTTTTTGGGTTAAAAATTGATGACAGCTCTTTTAGTATAAAACTAGTATAGAAATAATACTATTTTTCCCCAGGTATCAGAACACTTGGAGAAAAAGGAAGCAGTTCTTTCAGAAGTCATCTCAGCAGCCAATTTGGACCCAACTTCCTTTAGTCACATAAGCCATCAGCTGGAGGTGGGTGAAAGAGAGAGAGAGAAAGACAAAGCATGTACAATTACATACCAAATATCATGAGCATAGAATAAATTAAACCGAATCCGATGGACAGGTCATGTATGTTCATTCCATGCCCACTGTGAGTTTACTTTATTAATTGTTTTAACACATAGACGGCTATACGTGTACCAAGTCACTAATGAGCCAATTAACCCATTCGCCACACATGGCAAGAATAGATGCCATACCCACTTTGATACACGTTTATTTATTGTATTTACACATAGATGGCTCTACAAGTTAATCACCAAATGGCCAGTTATCAAGAACTACCTGTTTACCCTTATCCTTCACTTTAGGAAAGGGTTTTTTGTATCATTTCATTGTCTAAAATATTCTAATGACAATTCAATAATCATAACATCAATAACAATAATAACAGTAACGAAAGCAATGGTATTATTTTTCCCGCCAATTTAATGAATGGGAAAATCAGGGTCGGTAACTAGGGCCTACTGATAGACTCCTTGCCGGCTGAGCACATGTGGAGCCATCTGTAAGTAACAAAATTCACCAAAAACTACAGGGGACAGAACTTAAATCTGTAGCGAATGGGTTGAGAATGTTTAACCTTTTCCTTGATTTTCAAAAATATTTTATGTTATCTTATATTGCTGTTACTAATGTCTATAATAAAAATAACACCATCAGTATTCATAGCATTAGTAAAAAAAAAAAAAAAAAAAAAAAGTTTTTCCCACCAATTCAAGGAAAGGTGAAATTGTTTAAAGTCACAAGGTCTACTAATTGACTCCTTTTTGGCTAAGCACTAGCAGAGCCACTTATGTGCAGAGACATTTTACGAAAATATAAAAAATGAGCACAGTATTTTCCCCATTTTTTATTAATTTTCCCTGGTGATATTCCACAAAAAAAAAGTAAAAAAATGAGCACAGCATTTTCCTGGCCCCATTTAGTTAATATACCATCCCTTGCCCTGCAATTTGCATGTGTCCTCATTCCTCTACAATCGGCAGAATATTGTGGATGAGAAGAACCAGCTCGTAGGAGGGCTGAAAGAAGAGGTGGCCACACTCAGGCGGATGTACACTGACCTCATGGATAACTACCATGCTGTGACCAGTGCCAAGACAAAACCCAAGAACACTACCAAACTTCCTCATATCAATGTTTAGGATAAATAGTTTTTGTTGTTGTCCTTTAGTTGTAGAAGTAGTACTATGATAAATTATTATTTTTGTTATGATTATAATTTCTTCTTTTTAATTATCATTATCATTATTACTTTTTACATTATAATTATCATTGTTTTCTTATTTATTTATAATATTAGTAGTAGTAGTAGTAGTAGTAAGGTTTAATCACTATTATTATTATTACTATTATTATTATTATTATCAATAGTAGTAGTAGTATTACCATCATTGTCACAGTCATAGTCATCAGCATCAGCCTTATCATCACCACCACCATTATTATTATTATTAATATTATTCTTGTTATTATCATCATTGTTATTATCATTACTATTAGTAATAGTAGTAGCAGTAGTAGTAGTAGTAATATTGTCATTGTCATTATTGTCATTATCATCATTGTCATCATCATTATGATCATTATTATCATTAACATCATTGTATTTTTTTATCATTGTCATTATTATTATTATTATTATTATTATTATTATTATTATTATTATTATTTCTGTTATTATTATTATTATCATCATTACTGTTTTAAACTTTTTGTAAACAGATCTTATGTTAAAATGAATGTTTTTGTGGTATTT